ACGGGCAGGACAAGACTTGCGCGCTGCCGTCCTGGGTGCCGGACTGGCACGGCCGTGCGGCGGGGAAGCTCCGCCCCAACTACAGGTCGCTCCAGGCCTTTCTCGGCGCGGGACGGCGGCCGTCGGAGCCTCGGGACGGCAGGGTCAGCATCAGCCTTGCTTCCGATGTGGCCGACGCCTTGTCGGCGCAGGCGGTTCTGGGCCCGCAGGTCGTCCGGACGGCGCCCCCGGGGTTTCTGGAGAGTGTCGGCTTCTGGCGCGAGTTCCGCGGCCGCGCTTTCGAGGCGACCTATGCCGGCACGGGCATGTCGGAGCTCCAGGCGCTGTTCCGGACTCTGCTCTTCGACACGGCCTTTCCATTCTTCGACTATGTGAGACTGAGCGGGTTGGACGCGCGGTACTATGAGCTGGTGGTTGGCTTCCTGGCCGTTATGGCGCGGGCCCTGGAGATTGCAGAACCGGACGATGGTGTTGCTTGGGATCACAGGCCTATTGCTCGGGAGCTGTTCAGCATGCCCAGAGGGCAGTTTACCGACGACGAGGTGGACACGGCTCTGCTCCGCCTGTTTCAGCGGCCGGCGGATTCGACGGCGGGTGAGGGCATGTGGCCCATAGACAGTGCCCCGGCGCCAGAACGCGACCTCCTCGCGGGGTTTAACGAGAGGCACACGGGTCATACCGGGCACCAGTGCTTCTTCTGGACGGCAGACGGCTACTTTGGCCTGGGGCCGCCGGGGTGTCGGGAGGGCGATATTCCGAGTGTATTTGTGGGCGGCGATGTGCTCCATATGCTGCGCCAGCATGACGGGTACTACGAGCACGTCGGGCCGTGCTTTGTCCTGGGCTTGATGGACGGCGAGCTGTTGCAGCGAGTCGACGACGGGGTGGCGGCGACTCAAGAGATAATAATCAGGTGAGATGATGCATACCCATAGAGAGGAAGCAGAGGGCGGCCTCCCTCGGGGGTCGGACGGGGGACAGAAAAGGGCACGCCGCCGAAGACACGAATTTGATCCATGATAAGTTCCAGTGAGACAATGGGGGTTTGTACGCTGAGATTTTTGATGCCGTGGTTGGGGCGAGGAATTTAGGAGGTGCCAGAACCCCGCGAGGTGGGTCAAATACAGCAATGCTGAACCGTCCGCACCTTCCTTCAATCTTTATAAAAATCAATCAAATTTAGGCAACAGTCTGGAAGCCAGTTAGGTAGTTTGCTTCAGTTGCGGTCCCAAAACGCTGTTTTTGAGATTGAAACGGTAGGAATTTGGATGACACTCTGGTCCGGAGCAACCTCACCGGATACTGCGATTGAACCCCCGAGACAAATGCCGCCAAACTCAACACCAACCTCTGCATCCTGAGATGCGAGCAGCGCGCCACGCCTCCATCAGATCCATCACCCGGGTCATCCACCGCCAGCAATTTTCCACCCACCAAACCATCTTCTCCCGCAATTCCCACAAAATGGCCGCCCCAACCCCCTCCTCCGACGCCTACACCACCGCCCTCGCCCGCCTCGCCCAGCTCCAGTCCAACCGGGCCATCACCTCCCTCTTCGACGCCCCCTCCCCGGCCCCAACAGCCGATGGAAAACCCGCCGACCTCAACGCCCTCGCCATCCCGGAAATGCTCGCCTGGCTGCGCCGGGCGGGCTACACCCCGTCCTCCCTAGCCACGTCACCCCTGCGGTGCGTGCACGTCGCGGGCACCAAGGGCAAGGGCAGCGTCAGCACGCTGATCGCGTCCATCCTCTCGCAGTATCATCCCCACCAAGGGGGTGGCAGAGTCGGGCTCTACACGTCCCCGCACGTCCTCTCGGTGCGCGAGCGCATCGTCCTCGACGGGCGGCCCATCGCCCCCGAGAAATTCGGGCGCTACGTCGCCGAGGTGTGGGCGCGTCTCACGCAGGCCGCCAGAGACGAAGCAGCCGTTAAGGGTGTGGCCGCCACCATCAGCGAGGCGGAGCTCGACGGCCCCGGGACCAAGCCGTTCTACTTCCGGTTCCTGACGCTTGTCGCGCTGCACGCGTTCCTCTCCGAGGCAGGGGTGCGGGCCGCGGTGGTGGAGTGCGGGATCGGCGGGGAGTATGACGCGACAAACGTGCTCCCTAAGGAGGTCGTCACGGCGGCGGTGGTGACGCAGCTCGGGGTGGATCATGTCAGCATGCTGGGGGACACGGTCGAGAAGATTGCGTGGCATAAGAGCGGGGTGTTTAAGGAGGGGGTGAAGGCTTTTACAAGGCGGTTGTCCGAGGGGCAGGTGATGGAGGTGTTGAGGACGCGGGCGAGGGAGAAGGGGGCGGAGCTGGTCGAGGTGGCGGACGAGGAGGTTGAGCGGTGGGGGGGCGTCGAGGGCGCGAGGCTGCAGGGGCCGTTTCAAAAGTATAATATGGCGCTGGCCGTGTATGCGGCGAGGGAGCACCTGTTGCGGACGGGGGTTAAGCTGGAAGGGAGGTTTGGATCGGACGAGTGGACTCTTGACGATATCCCGCCCGAGTTCGTCACGGGGCTGAAGGAGGCGGCCCTGCGCGGGCGGTGCGAGGTGCTGACAGACGAGCACGGCATCGAGTGGCACGTTGACGGGGCGCACACCGACGACAGCCTTGCCGGGGTGGGGCGGTGGTTTGCGGGCAGGGCGGGGGACAGCGTGCGGGTGCTGGTGTTCAACCAGCAGGAGAGGGATCCGGCGCCGTTGTTGAGGGCGCTGCTCGCCGGTGCCAAGGAGGGCAGCGGACCGGCATTCACCCACGCCATTTTCACGAGAAACGAAGAGGAGAAGCTCGAGGGCGAGTGCGACCTCTCTACGCAGACCAGGGCCCAGGCGACGATGCGGGAGGTTGGTGCCGCAACAGAAACGGCGGTCCAGGATGCCGTTCAGCCTACGATTGAGCAGGTCAGGCGCATCGCGGCCCAGGCGAGCAAGGACGGAAAGCCGTGCAAGGTCCTGGTCACAGGGAGCTTCCACCTGGTCGGCGCCGTGCTCAAAACCATCGATCATGTTGAAAACTAGCCTGCCAATCTATCCCAAAACTCCGTTCCCAGCCAACCTGTACAGTTGAATACAAGGCGATCACGGACCCGTCGATGAAGACGAGCCCGGCACTTTTGATACCTCCTCACAGAGCATCCGCGCCTTCGAGGATGCCCAGGGCGCCACCCACCAAATGCAGACTGCCGGTAATCAGCGCCTGCACCTTGGGCCCGTCGTCCTCGGCCAGCCCCCGCGCCGTGTTGATGGCCTCCTCGATGCTCGGGATGAGCAGGACGTTGGCCGACGGGTCGAGCTGCTTCCACCTGTCGGCAAACACGCGCTGCTGCGTCATCTTTTCGATGTCGGCGGGGTTGTGCTGGTGGTTTACAAAGTCTGGGGGGGTCAGCAACAGCGTACACGGGAAAAGCGCGAGACATACCCCTTTTGTAGCCCGTCGCGGCATACGTGACGTTGGTGCAGAAAATGACGTGCTCAAACCCCCTGCCCGAGTTCTTGACCGTGTTGCACAGCCCGTCGAGAAAGTCGACGGCCTCGGTGCGGCCCTGCTGGTTGAAGATGAGCACCTTGGGCCCTCCCTCCGCCCGCCCGGCACACTCGCCGACGAACCAGCGCGCGGCCATCTTGAGGCTGTCGACCGTGTGCGCCCCGTCGACGTGCCAGATGACGCTGTCCTCGTCCTTGACCTCGCACCGGCCGCGCCAGATGACCTGCTCGAGCCCGTCGACAAACTCCTGCGGCAGGGCCTCGGGGTTGGGCGAGAAGGAGGGGTCCAGCTTCTGCAGGGCGGCCTCTGCGAGCGCGACACCCAGCGTGGCGTTCTTTTTCTGGAACGTCGCGTCGGGGCGGATATTGACGCCCGCCAGCCGCGGGTCGATGTCCAGCACCTTTAAGTCGACCTTCTTCTCTACCGCCCGCTTCTTGAGCACCTCAGCCGCCGCCGGGACCTGCTCGATCGTAAACGCCGGACTCCCCGGCTTCATGATGCCCGCCTTGTGCCAGGCAATCTTGTCGACCGTATCCCCCAGCACAAACACGTGGTCGATGCCGAGGGTGCTAATCCCGCTGGCGACGGGGCGCTCGACCACATTCGTGGCGTCAAACTCCCCGCCAATGCCCGTCTCGTACACGGCCGCGTCGACGCCTTCCGACAGAAACACGTGGTAGCTCATCAGCGTCAGGTAGCGCGCGTAGATGGGCTTGCTGCCGGGCGCGGCCGCGTCAGCCGCCACGTCGCGGTTCGCCTCGAGGCGGTCCCACACCTCGAAGAAGTAGCGCGCGAACAGCTCCTCGGAGAGGGGCGCCGAGCCGATGCGGATGCGCTCGCGCACGGCGATCAGGTGGGGGGAGGTGAAGAGGCCGACCTTGTGCGGTTTGTTGGTGCGCTGCTGGTAGCGCGACAGGATGGAGTCGACGAACGCGCAGGTGCTGCCCTTGCCCTTGGTGCCGGCGACGTGCACGATATTCAGACGGTCGAGGTCGCGCGGGGCGTAGCCGACGCGGGCGAGGTAGGCGCGCATCTCGCGCACCGAGGCGGCATCGGGGCGGATGCCGGCGCGGCGGCGGGCCTCGATGACGGCGTAGGGGGTCTGCAGGGAGTTGAGGGCGTCGATGGCGTCCTGCGGTGGTCAGTCAGTTGATATGACAGGGTAGTGTGAGGGTGAATGATCTCGCACATTGTATGTCCGCGTCGCCATGGTTCTCGAAAAGGGCCCGAGGCCGGATATCGCGCGGGTCAGTGGCCTGGAGATGGCTGTCCACCGCGCATGACGCATTGAGTCGCTGCTAGCGAACCTCTCGATATCAGCAATGGATTTCTAACAACACCGCGGTATGCAAATAGGCGTCTTTGGATGCGACGGCGGAATGCTCCGGGTTGCATCGGGATTCAGGCGGGCGCCGACACCGGCACGACGTCACTGCCCCGCATTAGTCTGTGCACAGGCACACTTCTCGATCTCGAAATTGCTGGGTCCTCTTCTTCTCTCCCGCATCTCCGCAACACCATCAACGGCAAGGTGGCCGAGCGGTCTAAGGCGCCAGGTTCAGGCCCACCTGAATTGGCTCGATGAGCATTCCTGGTCTCAGTAATGGGGCGTGAGTTCGAATCTCACCCTTGTCATTTTTCGTCTGTCATCGGCGTTGACGGCGAAATCGGTACTCCGTACATCTTTTTCTTTTGCCGGTGCGGGGCATCAGGATGAGGGGCAGCGTCAACGCCAAGTTGCGTTGAGTGGCGTCGAGATTCAACGCGGTCATCAAGTTGAGGCTTGGCCGAGATGTGAAGTCTGCGACCTCGGCCAACTGCCGCGACCGGCGTGGTCTGGCCTCGCCCGTTGCTGCAATGCGACCTCCCAAGCTGTCGGATCACGCGCCAGGCGATAAATAGCGTCAATTAAGGCCCGTCTGCATCTCATGCAGCAGTCCCGCCCGGCTTCTTGGCTCTGCCGCGTCTGAGACGCCGTCCCAGGCTCGACGCCGTCGATCAGCCCACAATGCCCTCATCCTGCCTCCAACCTCCCCGGTCGTCCGCTCGCTCGGGCGCCCGCGTCCAGCGCCGCGGATTCCGCGGCAAATTACATCCAGATCCGCCGCTCGTGCATCTCCATCGCCCCTTCACCGACATTACCCCCTTCTCGATCATGGATAAAGAAGTCTCTGATCCTCAGCTGACGGGGTCTGGCCTGGGGCGCTTCGTGGTGGCAGCCCCCGAGCGGAGCCCGCCCGCCATGCGCTCCGCCGCTGATTGGCGCGGGTAAAAAGGATGGGTAAATCGCCCGCCAGACGTTCGTGGGGTTGGGTTGCGGGAGCTTGTGACAAGCCTGCAAGCTTGCACGGCGGGCATGGCTGGCGGCTCACCACCAAAACCATGGCGTAATCGGCCACACCCAGGCGCGGCGGCGCTGCGGTGGAGAGGCGGAGAGGCGCGGTGGGTGAGTGAGCGGAGCTGTTGGAGGCGGGCGCCTGAGCTCCCCGCACCCAGGTTTGTCGTGGGTGCGGTTGGACAAGGAGGGGGCATTCTGCGCGTTCTGGGCATTGTGGGCAAAAGGGATCGAGTTTTTGAGATCTCCGAGAAACGGTGGTTGGGGGCGTACTTAAACCCGTCCTCCTCGTGCTTCTCCTCTTCCCCGAGCTCTGTTGTCATCCCAAGCGCTGCCTCTTTGTCACGTCTCAGACACCCACCATCACAATGGCTTCCGTAGGTACACGCCAACTCTCATGCTTGCCCCCACTAACACCCCCCAGAACCTGTCCTTCGTCCTCAACAAGCCCAATGACGTCAGCTTCGAGGAGCGCCCTGTGCCCAAGCTGCAGTCGCCGCACGATGTGCTCGTCGCCATCAACTACACGGGCATCTGCGGCTCCGACGTGCACTACTGGCAGCACGGCGCCATCGGCCACTTCGTGGTCAAGGACCCGATGGTGCTGGGCCACGAGTCGGCCGGCACCGTCGTCGAGGTCGGCGCCCAAGTCACCACCCTCCAAAAGGGCGACCGCGTGGCCCTCGAGCCGGGCTACCCCTGCCGCCGCTGCTCCCCCTGCCTCTCGGGCCACTACAACCTCTGCCCGGACATGGTCTTCGCCGCGACCCCGCCCTACGACGGCACCCTGACCGGCTTCTGGGCCGCCCCCTCCGACTTTTGCTTCAAGCTGCCCGACAACGTCTCCCTCCAGGAGGGGGCCCTGATCGAACCCCTCGCCGTGGCCGTGCACATCGTCAAGCAGGCGCGCGTGCAGCCGGGCCAGAGCGTCGTCATCATGGGCGCGGGGCCCGTCGGCCTGCTCTGCGCCGCCGTCGCCCGCGCCTTCGGCGCGACCAAGGTCGTCTCGGTCGACATCGTCCCGGCCAAGCTGGAGTTTGCCCAGTCCTACGCGGCCACGCACACCTACACGTCGCAGCGCGTGTCGGCCGAGGAGAACGCCCGCGCCCTGCTGGCGGCCGCCGACCTGGGCTCCGGCGCCGACGCCGTCATCGACGCGTCGGGCGCCGAGCCGTCCATCCAGACGTCGCTGCACGTGGTGCGCATGGGCGGCACGTACGTGCAGGGCGGCATGGGCAAGGCCGACATCAACTTCCCCATCATGGCGCTGTGCCTCAAGGAGGTGACGGCGCGCGGGTCCTTCCGCTACGGCAGCGGCGACTACAAGCTGGCCATCGAGCTGGTGGCCGCCGGCCGGGTCGACGTCAAGGCGCTCGTCAACGGCGTCGTTGCCTTCAAGGACGCCGAGGAGGCCTTCAAGAAGGTCAAGGAGGGGCAGGTCATCAAGATTCTGATTGCCGGGCCCAACGAGAAGGTCGACGCGGGCATGGACACGAGCGTCGACGAGAAGAAGCTGAAGGAGGCGCAGGCGGCTGGTAGCGGGGGGTGCTGCTAGGGAATTGCATGGACGGCGTACGGTGCATTGTTTGGGGGTTTGTTATAATCTATTGGCGTCTATGGGAATCTAATGAAAATATGAAGTGAAACAAACTGAAACAGACTCTTTAACTCTTAAAAAATCTCAAAATCTCAAAATCTTGAAATCTCAAAATCTAGACTCTTTCAAACTCTCCCCTACAACATCCCCAGATACCGCGTCTCAATCTTGGTGTCCTTGGTCGCCCCCCTGACACCAATGGTGACCACCTCGCCCGGCACAATATCCACCAGGTTGTCGTCAAACTTGACGTCGTCGTCGTCGTCGCACTCGAGCGCCACGCCTTTGACCGGCACCTCGGCGCTGATCTCGACCGCCGACAAATCCGCCGTGAGCTGCGCCCTGAGCGCCTTGGGCTTCTGCAGGTGCAGGTACTTGAGCGGCTCGGGCCAGTTGACGTAGCGCGCGATCTGCTTCCCGTCCTGGACCAGGTACGCGGCCACCACGGTCCGCGCCTCCTCGCCGGCGTTCTTCTGCCGGACGGGCACGTCCAGCGCGGCGATCTCCGTGGACCTGTTCTCCGGCAGCAGCTTCGCGGCGGCGACCGTCTGAGAAAAGGTCTCCTCGCCGGTCTCAACGTCCCACGCCTTGAGCACGCAGTCGGCCGTCAGGTCCTCGAGCGTCAGGTTGCTCCCCCACACCTCGATCTGCGTCGTGACGTCGATGTGCACGCGCGTGTGCCGGTCGCGCGGGTGCTCGTGCGTGCGGCGCGTGATGCCGATGCTGACGGGCGCCATCTCGCGCTTGACGGTGAAGTAGGCCAGCTTGGGGCGCAGGTAGTAGTCGGCGATGCTCCAGCTCGTGACGGGCCAGCAGTCGTTGGTCTGCCAGACGAGGGCGCCGCCGCAGTACTCGCGCCCCGGGCCGCGCCACTCGCGCTTCCACAGGCGGTAGGCCGACGCCAGGCACTCGCCCTGCATCAGCTGCGTGCAGTAGACAAACTGCTCGAGCGGGTCGGGCGCGTAGCGCATGTTCTCGACCAGGTACAGGGCGATGCGGCGCTCGTGGCCGTCGGCCTTGTTGTGGAAGTCGATGGTCGACGACTGCGGGTAGCGGTCCGGGTCGTCCTTGCCGAGCGGCAGGAACGCGTCGATGGTCTTGACCGACGGGAACGCCTCCATGCCGAACTCGGACACGAAGCGCCCGACGAGCTTGTCAAAGTTCTGGTACTTTTCCTGGGTCCCGTGCCACACGTTCCACTGGTGGATGTCGCCGACGGTCGCGTCGCGCGTGTTGAGGCCCGCGCCCCACGGCGAGCCCGGGTGGTACTGCGTGTGCGGGATCAGGCTGGCGCACACGTCGGCCAGCACCTTCTCGTAGATGTAGCGCGCGGGGAAGTCGGTCTTGAGCCAGCTCTCGGCGTCCTTGTTGGCGTAGTCGTACGTGAGGCCCTCGGATTCTTGGTACTGGTAGTCCTCGTTGTTGCCGGCCCAGATGACGATGGACGGGTGGTGGCGCAGCAGCTTGACGTTGGCGCGCGCCTCGCGGTCGATCGACTCGAGCAGCGCCGGCCACGCGGGGTAGTTGCCGCAGCCAAACATAAAGTCCTGCCACACGAGAATTCCGAGCTCGTCGCAGGCGTCGTAGAAGGCCTGCTCCTCGTAGATGCCGCCGCCCCACACGCGGATCATGAACTGGTTGCCCTCGGCCACCAGCTTGACCCAGTCGTGGTAGCGCTGCGGGCTGATGCGCGGGATGAAGTTGTCGGCGGGGATCCAGTCGCTGCCGCCGCAGTAGATGGGGATGTTGTTGACCTCGAAGAAGAAGCTCGTGCCCGGCTGGTCCTGCAGCGGGCGCTGGATCAGCTCGGCGCGGCGGAGCCCGATCCGCTTGGAGAGCGTGTCGACCTCGCCGCCGGCCAGCAGCGTCGCCTTGATGTCGTACAGCGGCTGCTTGCCGTAGCGGATCGGGTACCACAGCGCGGGGCTGTCGATGAGGAACGACACGGTGACGGCGTCGGCCGAGTTGACGTCGGCCGTCTCGGTGGCGACCTGCTGGCCGTCGAGCGAGATGTCGAAGCGCACCTTGTCCGCCTTGCCCTCGACCGCGGCCGTGACCTGGACGGTGGCGCGGGCGAGCGACTTGTCGACGACGGTCTCGGCGAAGAGGTCGGCCAGGCGCGCGTCGTAGATCTCGAGGTTGATGGGGCGCCAGGGGCCGCACGTCATGAGGGTCGGGCCCCAGTCCCAGCCCTGGGGAGTCAGTATGCGAGCGATAGGGTATAAAGACCCGAGGTATGAGAACTCACCCAGTGGTACTGCGCCTTGCGGACCGCCAGCCGCGACACGTCGCCGTTCCAGCAGCCCCACTTGTGCTCCGGGTACTGCTCGACCAGCTTGCAGCCCCGCAGGTAGGCGCTGTCAAAGGTGATGGCCAGCTCGTTGTGCTCCTTGAGAGTGGCCGTCACGTCGACCCGCTCGGGCACAAACATGTTGTCCGTCTCGAGGATGGTGGTGCCGTTGAGCACGACGGTCGCGAACGTGTCGAGGCCGTCAAAGGCGAGCACGGCCTGGGCACCCTCGGGGACCGCCGGGCGCGCGAACGTGGTCCGGTACGTCCATTGCGCCTCGCCCACCCACTGCACGGCGAGCTCGTTCTTGCCGATGAAGGCGTCCGGGATCAGGCCGTGGTGCTGCAGGTCGAGGTGCACGTTGGTCGGGAACTGGCTGACGGGCAGGAACTGGGCGTCCTTGTCGGCCTGCC